TCCATTGTTTGTTGATGGACTTTGGGTCGTGACTATTAGGAAACATAAAAGTACAAACATATCACTGAAATCTTGTTTTTATTCCTTAAAAGAAATACCTATAAGTAGGACTGTGCTGGGTCATATGGATCGCATTTCAAGGAATCTTGATACTATTTTCCATAGCAGCTATACTATTTTACATTACCACCAGTGGTTTACATGGATTCCAAATCCCCTATATCCTCAACACTTGTTAATTCAAGCTATTTGTATATATTATGTAAAAACTATATACTTATACATATACATTTTATACTGTATAGTTTTATATATTAATTTATGTATTGTTTATACAAAAATAAAGATAATATGTATATACACATATATAGATTAATCATGCTAATAGATAAAATGATATTTCATTGTAACATTGATTTGCATTTTCATAGTGATTAGTGAGGTTAACAGTCCTATTCACATACCTGTTGGTCATTTGTATGACTTTTTGGAAAAATTTCTAGTCAAGACTTTTGTTCATTTTGAATTGTTAGTTGTGTTTATTTTTTGTTTTCACTATTGAGTTATTTGGCTTTCTTATTTATCCAAAGATTAACTCATTATTAAGCATATGGTTTGCAAATATTTTCTTCAACTCCTTTGTAGCTTGCCTTTTCACTTTGTTAATTACATATATTTACTTTACATCCAGAAGATTTTCAGTTTGCTTAGAACAGAAGTAAAAGAAATTGAGACTTGGGAAACAATAGGGAAAATTCAATGAAATAGATTTGGTATTTTGATAAGACAAAATTTATAAATCATGACTTAAGACTGACTAAAAAAGAAAGAGAAAATTCAAATAAAATCAGAAATGTGGAAGAAAACATTATAGTTGACCCACAAAAATAAAAAAAGATAAGAGGCTATCATAAAGATTACAAACCAAGGAATCAAATAATATAAACAAAATGGATTAATTTTTAGAAAGATGCAACCTACCAAGATTGAATTATAGAAAATAGAAAATCTGACTAGACTTTTAACAAGTAAATATACTGATTAAGTAATAAATATTCTCCAATAAAAAGAAAAGTCCAGTGCCTGACAGTTTTGCTGGTAAATTCTATGGATCAATTAAGGAATACCAGTACGTGTCAATCTCTTCTCAAAAACTGAAGCAGATGGTATACTTTCATAATCATTCTATGAGGCCAGTAATTTTACAGTTTACTCTTCATAGAAAATTTAAAGTGTTCTTTTTTTAACTCAGATCATCCATTTTTCATGGTTTGAATGACCCTAGATGTTTTGGTTCTTGACTGCTTAATAGCCCCTGCTCTCCATCATGCTTAGATTATAGAGGACCCCTTGCACTATGCCAGCATGTTGACTGCTACTTGAGAAACTGCATTTGTTGGTTCCTTCACTCTGTGGCTTTTCTTCAGACATGTGCTAATAAATTGAATCTCGTTTACTCAGTTATGTTCAAATGTTTCCTTATTTTTATAAATATTCTTTTTTATTTATTAGTACATGTTTATAGTACATAATTTTACATTCTTTGTGTGGAGGTGGTACATCATCAGCACACATCATCTTTTTTTTCCCTTTTCCCTTCCCTCCCTCCTCTCTCCACTCATCTCTCTCTCTTTTTTTTTTTTTTTTTTTGGACCGGGGATTGAACCCGGGTCCTTGTGCTTGCAAGGCAGGCCACCGAACCGCTGAGCTAAATCTCCAGCCCCTTCTCCAATCATCTCTTGATCCCCTTCCTTCTTATGTGTTTTTTTTTTTTTTTGGTACATGTTTGCAGTATATAAAGTTTATTCATGTCACATTCTAACCATTCTATCTCTTTATGCTGCTCTCTTTTTCTTCATTATAGATTTATAATTTATATACCTGTTTTTTACTTGTTATGCTACTTTACCTTTGGAGATGGACTGCATCATCTCAGAATGTCTATCTTATTCATTTTTTATCTCCACTGCCTACCACTAAATAAATATCCCATTAGGTAGTATTGAATAACTGTATCTTTAGACTACAGAAGTGTATTTTTATACTGCAACCATGTTATTTCAGGTTAATTAAAGTAGGTAGAATATTTAAAGCTTAGCTTATCCAAATACAATAGGTCTTTTAAGGTGAGAATCACATTTTATTCCTCATAGTAATGTGACAGAATATCATGTGGCCCGGGTTTTAAGTTTTAAATTCAAAAAGTACACAACTTGCCTCTTCCAGGGCATATATGGTGTGATATCTTGGTTCATGGTCATGTTATTGTTCTCATCTTGTGTTCTATAAGGTTTCCTTTTGGTTAAAAACAAAGGTATATTATAATTTCTTCATTCAGCAGTGAATGTATCATTGTAAGAGGCTAGGATCTTTTTCAAAATATCCTGCAAGGAAGCTGAGTACAACACAAGACCTTGAAATTTAACCAATGGTTCAGAATCACTGATGTCTTTACCAACCTCTCAACTTGCTGAGATATTTGTATGCTGTGTCAGATATGAAAAGTCAAGAAGTATTTTGGACAGTCTTGAAGCTTATCATTGATATAAAACACCATTTTTCCATGTTCTCTATCTCTTTTATGTGGTATCTGAAGCAGGTGTATTGTGGTTTTCTATCCAGATATTGTCACTTTTCTTTACTTATTTTCTGGACTTGGAGGTTGACTTTTGTGGGTTTCACCAATTTAACATATTTATGTTTCAATGAGAACTATACAATAAAGAGCACTGAGAGAAGAACCAAAAAGAATACACACACACACACACACACACACACACATATTTATGTTTCAATGAGAACTATACAATAAAGAGCACTGAGAGAAGAACCAAAAAGAATACACACACACACACACACACACACACACACACACACAGAGTAAGTCCTCGTTCTTTTCTTTGGAATCTTCTCTGCTTGGCTATGTCCCATGTTAGCTCTTTGTTTCTGGCTTTTCTACAAATGTCTCTGCTTAACATTTATGTCTTTTTGTGTTGCTGGTGGACTGCAGCTATTGGTAGTACTACTACTACTCTCTTCTACTGTCACCTCCTTATTTGTTTTCCTTCACACACTGTTGTAAAATACATATTTATTAAAGTCTGCTTCAATTATTCTGTTTGAGGGTCATATTGGTAAATCACAGGGAGAACAGAAAGAGCATTCTGCCTTCATTAGCCCAGAATTAATAGAATATTACATTATAAAATTGGTACTCAAGCAAATCTTAAGTAATTGAATTACTAATCACTTTTTGATATTCTATTACTCTACTAATTTTAAGAAACTCAAGGGCCGGGGATTTAGCTCAGCGGTTCGGTGGTCTGTCTTGCAAGTGCAAGAAAC